GCGCGCCCGGCGAGGGGGTGTGGTTGGGATCGGCGCTGGGTGCTGGCTAACGGGTAGGGACTCTGTTTCAGAGCTGGGGCGGCGGGTCCGCTACTCGTGCGGCGGAGGGAAAACCCCATGGGAGGCTGGGTGGGGGACCCTCCTCCATCTACTTGGGAGGGGATGTCTCTTACGCGCGTAGAACTTGGGATCTCTCTGATTTAGGATTTCTAGAACCCTGGCGCGATTTAAGATTTTTAGACCTCGCCATCGCCCTGGTGCGATTTAGGATTTTTAGACACCCACGTTGCATTGGCGCGATTTAGGATTTCTAGACACGGCGTCGCCCTGGTGCATTTTAGGATTTTTAGATCCGGGCATCGCCCTTGCGCGATTTAGGACTTCTAGACCCCGCCGTCGCCTTGGCGCGATTTAGGATTTTTAGACCCCGCCGTCGCCCTGGCGCGATTTAAAATTTCTAGACCCCGCCGTCGCCTCGGCGCGATTTAGGATTTCTAGACTCGGCGTCATCCTGGCGCATTTTCGGATTGTTAGACCCCGCCGGCGCCCTGGCGCGATTTAGGATTTGTAGACCCCGTGATTTCGGGATTCCAGAGCCGGTTTCATCCTGGTGCGATTTAAGATTTTAACACCCGACATCGCCCTGACGCAGCTGAGGGTTTTTAGAACCCCGCATCTCCTTGGCGTGATTCAGAATTTCGAGACGCTGCCGTTGCCGTGATGCTATCAGGCGTTCAAGCCCCAGGTATTGTTGTGGCGCAATAGGATTTCCAGGCGCGGGCTTTCCCTTGGCGCAGTTTGGGGTTTTAGCAGCAGGTAGCACCCTGGCGCGGCTCGTAATTGCAAGGCTCCGGGATGGCCGTGGCGCAGTTGACGATTTCCAGTGCCTGGGGTCGCCGAGGTGTTAGGTACCGCATAGGGGTGACTGGGATTTGCCCGAGTTTGTTATCCCCGAGCGTATTTTTGAGATTTTCAGTAACAAAAAGCTAAGTGAGAACGGCGATGTGACCCAATCGTCGTGTTACGCATGGATTGTTCGCACGGGGTTGCAAAGGCGCTCCTAGCCTCACGCGATGCCCTACGGTGGGGTTTGGTGGTGTTAAATGTAATTTTTCCTATTTACAAGATGAAGAAATCAGGGCTGGGAATGGTTGATGAATTCCCAGAAGGTTTGTACTATGGTTTGCCAAATTTCTTCTCTTGCCTTATGGCTCATAAAATAACGGAGATGTTGGTTAAAAACGTTTAATTCATTCTGCTTACTGACTGCGAGGCTGCTTCCCTGCTAAAAAATCCTACGACGTCATTAGGGGCATTTTTACTGAGGTGATGACGACGGAAAACGACTTCCCGAGAGGCAGCTTCTTGGTTTTCTTGGCGTCGAGGAGGAGGCAATGCGTGGAGGGTGGGGGTGTTCGGGAGCAGCGTGCGTAGCCGCCCCCCGCCCCCCGCTGGGTGGGGGTGCTCCTCCCGCCTGCTCCTCGGGTAGCCCCTCCCTGGCTCGCTGCTGAGTCATTGCAGATACCCGGCTGCTGGGACCTGAATGAAGGAGAGAGGCGGGGGAGGAAGCGTGCCAAAACGCGACCCTGAAAAATGTATGAGCGGGAGTGTGGCACAGATAATAGCTCTGAGGGATGGACAGTCTAAACCTAATGCTTTTTGTCATCTCATCTTTCAAAGAGATGCGGGGATGCACCCTACTCCTGTTGTGTGGTGAAAACTGAGATGCAGTCATCACCTTCCAGGCATTTCAAAAAATTGTTTCTAGTATTACCTTGAAAGGAAGGTAGAACCAAGTCATTGACTGGATTTATTTATTTATTTTTTAGGGACACGTACTTTGGTGTGGCGGGGATTTTCATAATGACACCTAAAAGATTTTTTTTTTTTTGGTTTGTTTTTACCTGTTGGAACCACAGGCTTATTTATTTTAGAGTAAAAATATATTTTGTGATGGGTAGGGATTGTGGCCAGATTACCTGTAATATGGTGAAAGGGCGTGTGTACAGACACAAAGCCATTTCCACAAGAGCTTCGTCAATTAATTTCTCTTATTTGTAGCTCTGGATTTTTATTATTATTATTTTAGTTTTAGAAGGTATTTCCATCTGGCTATTTTGAGAGCACTTCCATTCTCCTGATAATTCTTTCCCTGATAAGATAGAAACAGGGGAAACTGTTTCTAATTCCTGCGTAGCTCTCATTATCATTATGGACAAGTTGACCTTTGAAATCCAGAACTTGGGAAGGTTGGGTGCGCAAACCATGCTCTCCTCCCAATGACAAAATCAATTCCTAGATGTTGGGTATGAGTTCCGTCTTTTTTTGGGGGGGGGAAGGGGGAGGAGGAGAAAGGGGAATCCTAAGAAATTCAATAAATGGAAGCTTCCTCAAGAAAAGCAGAAATATAATCTGCTGCCCTCACCTCGCAAGAGATTAGATATTTAGGGTCATGCAAAGCTGCTTATGTTGGAATATGCAGGGCACCTATCTTCTTATTTCACCGCCTCTTTACCCCAAGCAGTTTCTCCACACGAACCCAGATAGTAGTATTCAACAGGGTTGCACTGGGGTCAAATACTAACAAAGCAAGAGCAACTTTCTGCTGAAGGACATGTACTATTACTATACATATATATTTTAAAACATTAGTTCAAAATATATATGGTGGCGGTAGAGCTTTTGATTATATGTGAGGGAACCCCCTCACCCCCCACCCCCCAGGAAAAGCCAATGAAAAGGTGCACCACAGCACTTAGAACTCTCCCTTTTATTTTACATAAAAACCTCTCCAGTAGGTCTTGAGAACAGCACAAGGGAGGGGCTGAGTGATTAAAATGGGGAGAAGAGGAGGACGATTACATATTAAAAATAATATATTTTTCCTCCTGGAAATTAGAATGGTGAGCAAATATGGTGATTGCCATAGCAGGCAGAGGTGCACTTACGCTCTTCTTGGAAACATTTCCGCCATGGTTCATATGAGGGCAAGAACGTCACCGCATGGTACAGCAATCTCACCCTGTCTTACCAGTGTGGGCTTGTAGACGCGTGTACAATGTCACCTGACTGCTTACGCCTGGTCTCTGATTTTCCCACAGGATGAGGGAGTGGTGGGTGCATGTGGGGCTTCTGGCAATACCCCTGCTTGCGGCCTATCTATACATCCCGCCCCCCAAGTTGTCCCCTGCTCTTCACTCATGGAAGTTGTCAGGCAAATATTTCACCTACAAGGGACTGCGCATCTTCTACCAAGGTAAGAACAGGACTGTTGGACCCCCTGTGCATACAGGCCCCCGAGGTCCCACTTACTTATTTTGTGTCAGTTGGTCACTATTGGCCCTCAGTGATGGGGAGGGAAACCCCATTTTTCCAGGAAATGTGCTTGAAGGAGTGGACGAAACCCCTTGATAGCAGGGAAACGGGAAATGCAAAAAAACAAAACAAAACAAAAAACAACAAAACTGCTGGGAGGGCGCGGGTGGTAAAATTGAGATTCCAATCTCTGAAGAACTGACCTTTTACTATAATTTTTTGTAGCCGATTTGTATTGATAGGTTTTTTTCTTTGGAGCGCCCCTAGTGTCGGGTAATATAAACAGTATTCATAGATAAAGCTACCATTAGTTGTCTCCCCCCTGCCAATTCCTGATTTCATTTTGTTTACTATCAAGATTGTTATATGCATAACTAACTATGATTTAAGTCTTATACCTTTGTATAAATTAGTATGCTAATGGTAATTATTGTTATGACTTCTACTTATCAAGTAATTATCATATGCTAGGCATTGAATTATATTTTCAATATTAATTCATTTAATTTCTGTAACAGTAATTGGAGATAGGTGCCATTAACCTCATTTTATAGGTAACTAACCTGAAAAACAAGATTGGGAAAGATTTCTTTTGGGCGGGGGTCAAGAGCAATAACGAAAAATGTTTGTCATAAACCGTTTTTCATTATTGCTCCTGACCTCCTCTCATTTGCTATCATCAGTTAAGTAAGTATATAATTTTATTTATTTTGGTCATTTAGGTTTTTTCTAACTTTTCAATGTTTTCGTTAATGTTTAAGGGAAATTTTTATATATGTGTTTATTTTTCCTTATATTTTCAAACTATACTACTTGTAAATAGAATGATTTTATTTACATGGATTTAAAGAATAAGACGTATAGGATAAAATATATAAAATTTTAAATTGCTTCTAACTAAATTATTTTGCAAACCTTATTTTCAAATTCTCATGCCATTGGCAGTATATGAATACATCAGTTTTAATCTACTATTATCAGCAAGGTGTTCTACTATTTAAATGTTTGGCTACTTTAAAAGATGTTCATTAAGAACTGTTCCTATTTATATTGGTCAATCCTTTTTTATAGTTAGAATTTTGCAATAGTTTGAACATGATGCTTTTGATGCTGGATTTTGATATTTATGTCCTCTCTGGGAAATAAAAGTGTGGGACAAACAGTGTAAACTAAGGTTCTCAGAAGGTTGAGGAAGAGTTGCTGTATTTTGTGAGGTCATTAATGATAGGGTACAAAGAATCTGTAGTTAATATATTTTGTGAGAATTTTGTGAGGTCATTAATGATAGGGTACAAAGAATCTGTAGTTAATATATTGTGATCATATATGCTTAACTGTGAAAGTTTACTTTTTAATGTGAAAAGCAATTCATAATACAC